GTGCTCGTGCGGGGGCAGGGTGGGGTGGGGCCGAGAGAGGGGGGGGGCACTGGGCGCCCCCCCCCCCTCTGCTTCCTTCCCCTGCGCGTGCTCAGCCCGATCTGAGCATGCGCAAGAGAAGGAAGCAGAGGGACGGTCCGACTGGAACACTGGGGCGTTTTTTCAAGGTATGATATAGGTTATGGCACAGGAATATGTGGGTGACAAGAACTGCTAGCCGCTGATAAAGGGAGTTAGAGTGGAAAAGACAACATACTCATAACGCGGTACACAGCATCAGTTCAGCAAATGATATCAAGGGGAAGGTGGAGAATGCGACGGCGGGTGACAAGAAATGATAACAGTGATAGGGCCTGATAGAGATTTTTGCAGTTGTTGTTCAATCAAACGCTGGAGCCTCTACACCACGAAATTATGGAGTTTTAGTGATAGCGACATTGATGACGGGTGACAAGCAATTTTATCAATTGATAAGTAAAGATAAGGGGACATTCTCACGACATCTCTGACCACTACACTGCCAAAAAAGCCTCTCAGTAAGCGAAATTTTCCCACAGCCATCACTCCTCTGATAGCACTAGAAAATGTACTCATCCCACTAGGGGGGGGGTATACTTCGCCAAGATCTACGCATAGAATGGGCTGAGGGGTGCAGATTTCGCTAGGTTACTCTGTCTATTATGATTCGACCACTAGCGCGCAATATGAGCAGCTCAGGCAATTAACAAATTCCATCCCGTTATGATGTGCGCCTGGCGAAGCCAGGCCAGCTCGGCGAAGCCGAGCTAAAAAGAAGGAGGAGAGCTCGGCGTCAGCCGGGCGATCCGACTGGTAGGTAATAATGCGCGACTACACTAACAAAGAAAAGAGCAGCTGGGAACGACTTGAACAGTTCAATTAATAGAAAAATGTCAACTTACTACAGCTAAAACCGTGAGTAGTATGCCTACGCCAGCTCCAATGAAAGAATAGTGATCGCTTTTCTCTGGCTTATACGGATCACTTGGAAATTTTTCGGACGGCGGCTGAAGCAATGTTGAAGTACGTCAAAAATAAACGAGATATCACAACAATGATTTTTTTATGTCTAGGAAGGTAGAGCATTTTAGTTTACAATATTGCAAAAAAGAACACTCAGTGTCAAACCTTCAGACTTCCCAGCCAGTTCCTTTCACCGCTTGATGGCCTTGGAACAAACGGAGGCTGAGGTTCATCTGAAAAGTGGCTATACATGCTGAAGTACACGAGCTCAAAGGCAGATGACACCATAAGTCCCAGACGAGTAGGATTAATACGCCTGGCAGAACGGGATTCCGTGCCTTCGAGCAGGCGCCGCGTGGCGTCTTTTCCTAGGAAGATACCCTGATAAGGCCCTACCAAGCTGCAACATACCGACCCAGACGCCCTCAGCGTCCGACCGATGCTGATGCTCGTATCGCTTCATTTGCGAAGCACGATATGAAGCGAACGGATCGATAAGGGGCTGCGGTGCTGCGTGAATATACGAGTACATGGCAGGCGTACCTACCGTTGCAGTTATTGGCAAGATGCCTACGGGAAACTCGTCCGAATTGCTTTTTGGTTCAGTGAGAACGAAGGCTTTTCTTCGCAGGTTTTTGGCCGTTTACTTCGTTTATTTAGCCATTTTTCCACTACATAGCACCCTGCTAGCATTTTAGACCGGTACCAAATATCGCACCACATTCCTTTAACTGCACGATCACAATAACTAAAAAGCTACAAGTAAAAAGATATTGCAAAACCTGAAAATCGAGAACACTCAACCCTGGGACTTGGAGCGCTACTGTACTTCGGAGGGGATCACGCGACGAAGGTGAACTCCCCTCCGCTGTGTTCTAGGACCAGACTCTGACCTTCCGCACTTCCACAACTGAACCCTTACAAGGGAATGGTTTGAACTTCCCATGGAACTTTGAATGGAGACCTAGGTACATCGATAGAGCCTCGAATGCTGATTACGAATATGCAGATTAAAAGTGCTACGGGGACCTCCCAGACGAGATCTGGGTGGTCAAAGTTTGCGAAAAGTCAGTTTTGGCTCGTAAGCGCTGCTGATCGATGCTCGGCAGTGCCACCGTGGCCTCGTGGTAATGGTCTCGCTTTCAAGTCAAACGCACGCGGGTTTGCATCCGGTTGGCGCGAAAATTTTTGCTTCGCTCCCTATAAGAGCTTTAACTCTAATTTTCGAAATTCTTCCGAATTTACGGCCCAGCAGGGCAAGTAGATCAAGTACATCAAGTATACGACGTACTCGATCTAGTATGGATTTGGTCATATCTGCCCTCTCTGAACATATTACCCATCCGACAATTCAAAGTTTTGCCCAGAATCGCAATTTGGCCAGACGAGCGTTTTTTTTTCGAGGATGTGATATATGGGGTAGAAATATCTGATGAAACGAGTTTTTCTGCGCACAAACACTTGAAATTGTCGAAGGGTAATAGTCAGTGGAAGGGCAGAAATGTGAACCCAATCCATACTATAGAGTCGGACGGGTTGTGCTAACGGTGCATGTTAACTTGATGCTACCTCCCTGCTGGAGAGTAAAACTCGAAGAATTCCGAAAATTAGAGTAAATAAGCTCATAGGGAGGCGAGAGCAAAATTTTCGCGCCAACCAGGAGCAACCCGCATGCGTTTGACTTGAAAGCGAGACCTTTACCACGGGGCCACGGTGGGCACTACCAAGATGTCGATCAGCAGCGCTTACGAGCCAAAACTGACTTTTCGCAAACTTTGACCTCCCAAGATCTCGTCTGGGAGGTCCCCGTAGCACTTTTAATCTGCATATTCGTAATCAGCATTTGAGGCTCTATCGATGTACCTAGGTCTCCATTCAAAGTTCCATGGGAAGTTCAAACCATTCCCTTGTTACGAGATCAAAAGGTGAGTGTTGCGCCCAGTTCACGTTGTCCCTCCCCGCTGACTCCGAGGGCGCAGCGTTTTGCCTTCACCTGCCCTTTTGCTTTCAGTTCAATAGACTTGAATAACAATATCGTACCCACGGGATGATGGCTCGCTGTAGCGAACGGGCTGAGTGCGCAGTGACTCAAGGTGTGAATGCCGTCAGAAAATCGTCGGCACATTGACGGATGAAAGAGCGAGAATATCTATGGCAGTGGGAACGGGATGCTGTTTCAGAAGAATGAGCAACGTAAATTAACAATGCTAAAGAAAGCCATCAAATGAAAGTAAACGACAGAAAACAAATGTTACTGTCAAATGAAGATAGAGATCGTTATTGTTTTCACTTCATTAATCTTAATAAGACCCGCAAAACAATGAGAAAACATCACAACGACAATCATTTTACAGCAATCATTGGACCGGAACCGAAACCAGTGTCCTTGCCTGTGCGTCTGATATCAAGCGAGATAAGCTGGACGGAATGTTTGGGCAGCCTTTCTCAGCTTCTGCAACGGAAACAAGCTTCGTCTATTGTGGTTCCAGCATAACAAACAAAACAACGTACATTAATGACCATTCCTGCAAGCTGCAGGACTTTTAGAGCCGATAATACAAAGAGCATCGCAACGAAAACGAGACCATCGTAATTCCGGATCAAAAAGCATACCTAAACAATGCGAGGTGTGTGAGTGTGTGGAGAGTGAGCAAATTTACTTGCTCACTGCTTGCATATCGAAATTCATGTTTAGTGCGTCAAACTGAAAGTGCCCTGACGCCCGTCCCAGAAGTTTCGGATCGCATTTGGCGAATGGATCGCGCTGAGAAGGCGCTCTACTGCCATGCGGCGTATTGCCAAAACGGCAGTATTCAAATTAGGCCGCGTTCACACTGAGCCAATTTGAATTGTGCCGTTGCGGCGGTGGTTTTGACAGTAGAGGGCCCAGGTCGTAATTGCGCGATCCGATCGCGCCATCGCGAAGTCTGAACGAGGTTCGGTAGAAGACGCTACTTTTCAGTATAGTTATTGCTCATTGAAATTTCTGCGCTACTTTAGCACAGGAAGCAAGCCACCAGGTAATGTTGTGGAACCTGCCTCATGACGTATCCCCACGTCGATGCCGAAAAGCATGCATTTTTATGAAATGCGAAAACCGTTCCTCAGAGAAACTAGTTCATTCGAATCGGAGTAGGATATCTTTATCCAAGTCTCAGCGCAAAGCAATGCTTACTCTGGCACGCGGCCCTCTGCTGAACCTCATCTAATACATGCACCCATGGCCGAGTAGTGTACAAGGCGAAGAATTGAGATGCCATAGGTGTATAGAGAGAGTATATGAATTCTCACTCCAACGACGTCGTCACGAGGCGCACAAAGATATCTGTGACATGCCGATGCCGTCAGGAGTGAGAAACCGTTCACCGATTAACACCGTAACTGTGACGCTATGTTGGAGCTGTGAGGAATACAAAACGTTAAGCGGTGAGTGCAAATAGACGTCGTGTCGAGCGCCGCTTCTTGGATGGCTGTGTTCCAGGCTTGTCTATGCAATACCGATGACCGCAGTATGAACTTCATCGGCCTAACCCGACACTGAACGGCTCGCATATCCATGTCTTAATAGATATGCTAGCATTTTCTACAAACACCATCCAACAAACATGAATAAAAGTGGTTATTCAACTGACGCATGTGATGAGACCTACTAACCGGAAAATATCAGCAAGATGCGGGGAGTCTCTGAATCCTTTGAGAAAATATCCTGGATTCCTATTGATGTAGCTGGCAAAAACAGCAGCCATTGGCCGATTTATTGAGGTAAACCAACAAAGAACACAGTGAACTCCGGAAGCGAGTCAATAAGTGTAACGGTTCGTAATAGCAAAGATAGCACTGCCTCCAAAATATCAGACTTCGACAGCTAAAATATTCACAAGTGTCCACCGTATGCAGTAGTGTGAGAGCCCCGCTTTGCAAGATAAAGATGGATGCACCCAAGAAGTTTTACATACTGCAAAAATAACTCACGATTTTTGAATCACTTGGCTTGAGGTAGTGTTCTGCCAAAACCGCAACTAGTTCTTCAGCGTACGGCTTGCTATTACCAACCTGTAATCGAATCGAGCTAGACTTCGACTCTAACGAGAACATGGGGGTAGAAACTTACAAGAACTGACTACTCATCGACCAAGCTTCCTTGGGTTATTACTCTAATTTCGCCAAGCGTATTCGTAGCCCAACCCTTGCGTTAAGCGCCTGTGCAGCATACAATCTCGCAATTTGCACGCGTACATGCCATTCAGGCGTGCCACAAACGTGCAACAAAGCCACCGATCATCAGGTCGTTTTCAATGGGCCCTTTGAAAACATGGAGAGAAAAACCCGCAGAGATTCCTCGTTCCCCTCTAGCAATCGATTGGACATTAGATATTACGAGATTTACAATGTTCTCGAAGAAATCAGGGGATATAATGGTGAAGGTGATGTTTCATCTTCCCTGAACAGCTTAGCAACTACACTGGATAGCAAAGTTGCACTGTTTCCATTCAATAACAATATATAGAAAAACAAGAGAAAACACAGCACTAAACAAGAGCCCACCTTAGACAACCACAGAGAAATCTGGGCATAGAGTTGAAGAACCGGGAACTGCAATGCATACGATGCCAATCGATATAAAATACGAAGTCTGTGCTCATGAACATGTGACTCGCCCTCTCTTCCAAGGAAAAGTACTTCAAAATATGCATATTTATTCATCTCATCTCGTTCCTAAAACGCATCGTATTGGTTATGGGGGTATCCTTCGTAATCTTGAGTTTACTGGTCCAAAAGTTGTTATCAAAAACGTGATGTGGCAGACAGTACGGCTCTTGGTCCTCTGACACCAAATCGAAAAAGAGCTACAGCACTGTGATGAAACGCATAAGGCAAAAAGCAGCGAAACTCTGCATTAAAGAGTAAATTCCTGAATTTTCCCGTTCAGGAACTGAAAAAAATGGATAAAGAAAAACTTTGAGAAGTAGAACACTTGCATCAAAGAAAATATGAGAAATGTAAATTTCTGTATGGAAACATAAAAATGGGTTATATTCGTAGCACCATTTCTAAGCTAATCACAATCGCACAAACGTCCTAATATGACTGTCGAGTGATAATCCCTTGAGATCAAATTATAAATGTACGGCGCGCAAGAGGGAAGCGGAGGAAGCTAGATTTATACCTGCTTCAACAGTGACATTGAATCAACTATGCGCAGGCTTCGCGTTGCCCTGCAGTTCATTCTCGTCATGATGCGAAGGTAGCCACCCCTGAGGACAGATGAGACCCTCCAGTATCATTTGCTAGGGCCTGTTTAGTGTGCAGAAATGCGCCTGAGTCCCTGAAAAGGGGCCTCTAACATGAGAACCGTCCTTTAGAAGACACTGCGTCTTTGTTGTTGTCATGAAAAAGGCCTGCTATTATTTAGGAAGACAAGACTAAAACTTGAGCAATAAAGAAACGATAACGGTGTGAAATCGCTGATAACAACGATTTGGACCAGAGATCACAGGAGAAGCGCCTAGAGAGCTTTCCGCTAAAGATGACACACTTACCATCAAAAACACCTTTTCTGAAGCACTCGTAATCAATACAATACCGCGACCACAGTGACTGAATGTTAGGTCTACCGGGAAGTTTCAAAACAGAGCTAAGTTTTGGCAGGAAAACTTCCCCAGGCACGACCTTTACCCAGCATTTTCTTGTGGATCCTCCGCTGGATCACCTACACGCCTCGTCCAAGGCTAGAGGATCTGTATTAGGAGAATGTCCATTATGCACCGTAATTGTCTGAACGTCCGACTTCCACTTCCTTCGCTTTCTAGGCCCCTTTCAAATGAGAAGTTCTGCCATTTACGTCAGGAATTGAATATTAACATCGAGCTCGAGGACAATTCCTTGCAGAGTGTGGGAATAGAGCTGCTCCTGGATAGGTAGTAAATATGAATCCACAATCGAGCACACTTGAACTAGTGCAATAGAATAATTATAATTACTTATAGTTAACAAAATACTACAACTCATTCCAAACAGCCTAGTATCATTTGGGAGAATAAGTAATCCCCAATCCAGGGCAGCAATCCCCTTTCGCAGGAGTAATTCATGAAGAAAAGTCAATAAACTACGGATCCCCAAACAACGTCACTGCAGGGCTGCATGCCCATTCCCTACACGTGTGACCGAATTTTCCACACTCAAAAGGGCATGAAAAATGACTTACCGTGAAAAAGTGAGCAAGGTGATTGATGAGAGTGAACTCTTGAAGTTGTGAGAGGCGCGAGCCCTTTCTATCTGCAGTCAGACAGAATATTTCGTTGTCGATAAGCAGTTGTAGATCGTTATTTTTGGTCAAAGCAGGGCGACTTCGACCATGACTCGACAAGCGGACATGTTTGGAAACCTGATAAAACGACAAAAGTTTCCATGAAAAAACTGTGTACGCAGTGTTACCACACCTGAATAAGAGCTTCAGTAACGCAGGCTGGAAACGCAAAACCCAGCGTAGTTGGTATAGGGGCTCCATGATGGATGGGACCCCCTCCACGGCGCATTTGCCTGAATCTTTGCTTGAATAACCAGCTTATAGTACCATTAAATTAATGATAAGTTAGAATATATAAACAACCCATGACGCAATACCACGGTCTTAAAGAAAAGTTGCAGGCAAAACCTTACAACATTTAGCGCGTGCGGCTGCGTCACGATGTGGTGGTCTCGAGCACCCCAACAACCTATTTCTGGGCTTTACTGTTACTTTCTGTTCATGCGCATTTCTGACTGTCAACAGCTTTGCATTTGCTGCTTTTCCTTCAACGCTGCGTGAGCAACTTATGGTTCGAACTTCGTCGGCGCCGAGCCAGAGCAGGTCCAGTACGATTATGTGCAGCCCCAGTCACCCACTATACAAGTTCGGATATTCGTACTCCAATTCATCACCTGTTCGAAGTGAAGAAGCTCATCACGAACAGCACAACGAACCACTCTAGTCCTCACACTTCGTTTCGTCTCTTGTCGCTCGCCTGTATTTAAAGGACACAACAGTGGGTCCCGCGTAGATTTAATGAAAGCATATACGTTATGGGATAGTCTCATATCCCGAAGGTTCATACGATAATAGTTTTTGCCATTGTCCTATTAAGAGATGATCGGAAATTGATAAGTTTTCCTGCAGGCATTCCTCCGTCGATACAGCTGCAAGAGCTGCTCCCGAAATCCCAGGAAAGTTTACTTGAAGCATCGTTGGTCATACAGCGATCATTGGCTCAACGATCATTCAGTCGTGTGGATTTAGGTACGCGCTTCATGTCTGATACAGGTTAGCAAAAGTGTTGGCGGAGTGGTAGGGTTTATTTCGCAGATCTCGACGATATTTTCTTGGACAAGGGAGTAATTCTGAACTGACAGAAGCTGGATGTTTCGAGTAACTGTAACAGGATAACAAAATCAACAGTGCAATTCATAAACAGCTCGCGGTGACGATTTCTTCTGTTACATCTCTTGGTAGTTTAGTCTCCTGTCAGAACTTCAGCGCGTGCGGTGGCATTCCAGTAACCTTGAGCAATATTGGGTTAGTAATGGTTGACTCCATCGAAGTGAGAAGTAGCCGGATAGAAAATCAGTCGTGTACATTCTTTTCGCGAAAACTCCAGTCAGAAATTTTCCAGTGTGACAAAATGTAAAGGCGATCTTAAGAAGTGAGTTATACTCTAGTTCGCTGCGGACGGTTGGGCGTGTCAGGCAGTATGAGTGTGTCACCCGTCAAAGCCGTTCTCTGCCTTCTTGTTGAACGCGTATACTGTAGTTCGCTGCGGACGGTTGGGCGTGTCAGTGCGGCTGCGTTTGGCGCGGTGCCAAACTCGTTCTACACCAGTTGTTGAAGCGGGCAAGTGACAATACTGTATCATATCTTCGTATTACTCGTTTTCTACCACTTTTTGTCGCATGCGCTCTTCAACAAGAAGGCAGAGAACGGCTCTGATAGGGTGACACACTCATACTGGCTGACACGCCCAACCGTCCGCAGAGAACTAGAGTGTATGCGGCAAAAAGTGGTAGAGAACGAGTAATACGGGCGATATGACCCAGTCATATCACTTGCTCGCTTTAACAACTGGTGGAGAACGGGTTTGGCACCGCGCCAAACTCATCCCGCCTGACACGCCCAGCCGTCCGCAGCGAACTACACTTGGTGCAAGAGCTGTGATCATTACTTCTTTCGTGTAAGACTGGTGAGAGGGGAGCTTGTGTGAAGTATAACCATAAGGCAGCGTTCAGATTTTGCGGAATAAAGTGCTGATGTAAACAGGAGATCCTCCGAGAAGAATGCTGCATCCTCAGACGCGGATCGAACTCTTGCTGATATGTCCCGAAACTGTGTCCACTTTGGCCCTTTCTTTAACTACATTCAATGAAAGAGAAGCAACTGTGGTAAGATTTGTGTGTTTTGATCCAGGTTGCAAGAAGAGAGAAGCTGGAGAATACTTTGAACTGTGCCTGCGTCCAGACTTCGACGCGCGCAGACGCGCTGTAGCTGGAACGCACGTCGACGCAGTCGACGCACTACAATTTGACCGATAGACGCGAACGCGACCGCAGACGGTCGATCGGCGTCGGCCGCTTTGTATTGAAAAAGTATGGGAGAGAGTACACGTTGCCTGAGCACGCAATCTGGAATCGACGGTACTGGCCGCTAGGGCCTTGGCAGAGTATAGAACAACGGGAGACTGCCGGAATGTGAGAAGGTAGCGCCTGCCCTCCTATTATCCTGCACTCTTTCAAAACACAGGCGAGCGGAGCCGATCTATTCCCGTCTACGTCTGCGGCGTCTATAGAATTGGAGCGCTGTTGCATTGTAGCCCGTCGACAAAAGTTAGGTTGCGTTCATACTTGGCGGCAACGTACACTTGGCGACGCTGGCAAATGCTAGATCGATATTTATCCTTTCCTTGTCACTGCCGCTGCCGAACGCTGGAAACGCTAGCGTACGTTGCCGCAAAGTATGAACGCAGCCTTACAGAGCGTCATCGCAGTTTGAACGCTGCCCAATTAGGTGATGGCTGATCATCGTTTCCTTGTGTTGCAGTGATGATTCTTGATTGGGCTCCGAGATAAGGAATAGACCGTTTGCTGGTTTTCCCATTTTAAGCTTTTATAGAGGACATAGCCGATTATATTAGTAGGATGTTCGGACCTGTTTAACCGCGCTCCGTAGGTGGAAGAAGTATGATCGCTTTTCGATGTGTGGTGCGTTTTGGCGAGCACAGCTTCGCAGGCTTCCAAAATCACTACTTCCCCACTAAGATCTAGCTCACCACCTTACACATACCCAACGCCCCTCGGTATAGGTACAGTCGTCATCCTTGCACTTGATAGTCAATGTCAGTGCGGCTGCGTGCGGCGCGGTCGCCCGCACCCGTACTGCACCAATCGTTGAACCAGGAAGTGACATTACTGTATTATATCCTTCGTGTTACTCGTTTTCTATCACTTTTTGTCGCATACGCGTTTCAACGAAAAGGCTGAGAAGGCTTCAAACAGTGTGCACGCTCCTTCTCGCCGACACGCCCCTATCAAGTGCAAGGATGACGACTGTAGATGTACCGTTCACCGGGCTCACGCCGTTCCCTCATACTTTCGGCACCAAATGCTCCACCTTGTTGGATGAGCGCTGCATCCCATGTCCTTGAATGGCGGAGATCGAATGTGTCCTCGTCTAGAGCACTTTGAAAGAGACAACATTCTTACTTACTTGCCAAGACAATCACTGGTTTCGTGTTGTAATTTATAGAATTTAGTGCTCACCACAAAGCTTAGACGAACATGAAGGAACCGTTTCACATGCGCATTTAGGTTCATTCTCCAGTTGCATGGTTCACTAAATGCTATGGCTGAAAGGGACTACGGCATTATCAATGTAGGCCTTGTTGAAGCGCTCGCGTTCACACTTCGCGATCCGATCGCTTGGAGCGCGCGATCGGGTCGAAAATTATGACTGCGCTGTAATTCACGGCACTGGTCGTCTTTGGTTTCTACACGGGATATGAAAAAGTGGGCATGAGGATTGTACAAAGTCATTATAGGATGCCCACCATTAGTAGAAACTGGCAAGCACTTTGAGAGTTTCCAACTTTCCAACTTCTGAACCGCTCCTTCTTTGCCCTCGTTAGACTGTAGTTCGGCAGTCTAACGAGGGCATCTGCTTTCATCACAGCAGGATGTGAATTTTGAACCAGCGTTTTTCTATAAACCCAAGTATACAGCCTGTTCCCTCAAGGCTGTAGTAAAGCTGCGGACTACGTCTGTACTTTCCACTGCTCAACTGTGACGTTTAAGCACAGTCTACCTTATAGGCAGACTTCCTTCCTCACGTAAGGTGCGACCAGCCCTATTAGGTTGTGCCGGATGCGACACCACAAGTTGTTGCGTTTAGAAGGCCCTAACAGCTTGCGACCTAGGGCGCTCTCCACCTCAGGCGTAGGCAGGGTACAGCATCGTTGTGTCAAACCCATGGGGGGTCGTACTTTTGCTCTGGGGAGGGAGGGGGGTCGTATTTGTAAGACAAATTTATTTTGATAGTTGATTTTTTCTTGTGGAAAAGGGGGTCGTATTAATTTTTTTATATGCACTATATGCATTCTGTACGCCCGTGGGATATACGTTGCATAGTTATTGTATACCCCCCCCCCCCCGCTCGACAACTTTTTCGCCGACTATATACTCGTCGTCGGCGAAAAAGCCGTGGAGGTGGGGGGAGGGGGTCGTGCCTGGACCCTCCCCCCCCCATTCGAAAGGGGGGGGGTGGAAGGGTGGGGGGGGAGGGGGGTTGTGCCTGGACCCCATTCGAAAGGGGAGGGGGGGTCGTACTCACACACATTTCGCACATCCCCACGCTGTACCCTGGGCGTAGGTCTCCCCGCTTCTGTAACTTCAATCAGGAAAGGAATGATAAAGGTTCTAGTGGTGAAAGTCAGTATAGCAACGTCATCACTCTTGTTTTGCTGTCGTGCACTGTACCCTTGAAGAAGATGACATTTGATTCTCACGAAACAGCCGAATGTTATCCCAAAAGCTCAATAAAGACGCAATGCATTGCTATCACAAAACTACCAAGACCAATGTAACCCTTAATATCTCTCTGTGTCTCATTACACACACCGAAGTGAACCGCCTTCGCACGATTTATAAGGTACCCATAACATTAGGATATAGAAATTGATGAAATGTATTTCATTGTTCATCTCGAGAAAGGTCAACACAAAATAGGAAGCACCCCTAAGCATCCTCAACTACGGACTAGTGTTAAGACAAATTTTTGAGAATAAGTAATTCGGATTGTGAAAGTTGAGGGCATGAGAGGCCATTTCGTTGTTCGCCTCGTGCGCTCTAGCGCGACTAACGCCGCGCGGACGCCCGTCTGTGAAGGCATTTACATTTGACTATTTTAAGCTTTCTGAGAGGGCGTTGTACTTCACTCTACAAGGCGCCGCGCAACGAACGTCAAAATATCAGTTCAGTGATGCTTGGCATGATGTTAGGTGAAAAAATAATTTTG